AAGAAATGTTGAGATTAGCAGAGAAAGGAACTGAAATTGCAAATATACTAGAAGAAAAAGAAAGACAGAAGTTTATTTAGTATAAGAAGAACTATGATATTTTTATAATAGAACAATTAATAAACTGAAACTACCAGAAAATGATAACTTAGAAGCAGTTAAAGAAGTGCAGAAGAGCAAAAACAAGAGACAAGAAAGCAAAATAGTTTCAAAAGCTAGAAGAAGAGGTGATCAAGAACAATTAAGAAAAGATATCAAAAAGATGATCTAAACAGTTTAAGCATAAAAGCAACTTTAGAAGAAATAAAGACAGATAGAAGACACAAAGAATAGATTCTAATAGAAGAAGACAAAAACAAGACAGGCTTCAGAAGAATAATCGATAAATATGGCAAAAAGAAGAAAATATATGATATAGAAAACTAGATAAAAACAAAAGCTAATAGAAGTGATAAATTTAAAATAAAATAGTGCAAAGGATGCAGCCGAAGCAAAAGCAAAGTGCAAAGTGGAATATGTATATTTACAAGAAGATTTCAAAGTAATAGAAGAGCACTGAAGAAAGACTGGATCAAGAAACTAATAGACGACGGTGAAATATATGAGGTAGAACTCAAGCTAGAGATGTTAAGCTAGAAAAAAAAAACAAGAAAAGAAGAGACGGAAGACTATCAAGGCCAGAAGATGGAAGACAAGATCATCATAGAAACACTAATAGAAAAAATAATCAAGGATCAAGTAGAAGAAGGAGAAGTACAAGAGAAATTACTAACAGCTGCACAAAAATTACAGAATATTGAGAAAATAGACTTCTATACAGACAAATCACTATATGAAGAAAAAGAAACACCACAAAAAATCAAAATAGGAGCAGAGTAGACAGCAGTAATAAAGCATGAAGAAATAGAAGAAGAAGAGAAAACAAGATTTAGCTGTGCCTTCAAGACCTGGCCATCATCGACTCGAGCAGAGCTAGAAGCAATATAGAACAGGAGGGAACATTAATATTACATGAATGTTTATGTATTGTCTTATTGTAACTGGCCAATCAAATCACAAAATTTAAAAATTAAAAAAATAACAAAACCGATAATGAAAACGAAATAAAATAGAATAAATTAATTTAAAGCTTATATTTTAGAGATTGAATAAGTGCCTTAGACTTGTGTAAAGTGGACAAGCATATATTTATTAATTTATTTATTCGTTAATCAAGTTAATTGATTTCTATATATCCACTACTTATAAGAACTCAATACAGTAATCTCTTCGATATTTGATTCTCATAAAATCCAGGTATTTCATCTCATACGATATAATCTTTTATAACATAATCTTAGTCCATTAATAAATACATAATTTCAGTATAAAATATAACTGTACAGTAATAAATCTCTATCGTATCTTGAATAAAAAAAAATTGCAAATATAGTTAGTTAACTTGTTATTTAGATGTTTTTAAAGAATTCTATGTGAAGTATATAATAAACATTGTATAAATCAACATTTTTTATCTAGTTTACCTTTATTAAATCGTTACTTTTAACTTTTTTCCTTTTTGTTCGCTCAACAAACTAAATTTTATCGTTCTAATAGTTTTATGTCCTATACTTTCTTAAGTTTATATATAAATTTCACTATGTAAATTGAATATGAAGGTGGGTGGATTCAAGTGGATTCATCCGATATTATTAAAATACGATACGAGAACTTCAAGTTTGCTTAATAGACTTTTTACATTTCATAAGAAAGATAGGCTACACAAGCCTCATGAAAAAGTACTTTATAATGTATAAATTACGATGTAAATCAATTGTGTAATGTGTTTCTATTTTTAGGTACGTTCCCTCCTGTTGCAATATAGATAGCATTTCTGATTGCTTCTGAAGAAACAGAAGTCATAATACACACAGACAGTTTTTTGGCTATACAGTTTCTAAAGAGAAAAGAAGTCTGAAAAAAAAAGAGAAAAGCATTGAAAATCAAGAATGCAAATATCTTATAGCAAATCAAGAAATTATAAAAACTAAAGGTCTAAAAGTGAAGCTGAAGAAGGTGAAAGGGCATAGTGAAAATACATATAATGACTTTGCAGACAAACTAGCTAAAGAAGGAGCAAGAAATCAGAAGTTAGCAATAATGAAATGGCCATAGATCCAATATTTATGAATATCAGCAAGATAGAGGGATATAACAATAGATAGCCCAATAAGAGAAGTAGTGAATAAAATTGCAATAGCAGCATTAGATGCAGAATGAACAGACTTAGATAGAAATAGTAGATAGTTAGATAGAAGTAAAGAGGAGGAATTCAATTGGAGAGAAACTTGGAAATGGATAGATAAAGATAAAGATAAAAACTGTATAAGTAGGGAAAAAAACAAAAATTGGATATTTCAGATCAAATGCCTAAGTGAACTATTGCCGATCTTAACGGATATATATACATCAAATACATGTATAGTATATAAAGAAAAAGAAGAAGACCTAGATCACCTTGCCAACTGTAAAGATTATCAAAGCATATAGAGCATTATTAAAGACGAAGCAAACAAAGAAGGTCTACAAGTATTACAGCAAAAAGAATATGAAGAAAGACTTATGAACAAAGAAGATGTTAAGGATCTGTTCTTTGGAGAATCTCAAAATGAAAAAATAGAAACAAGAAGGTATTTGATCAGAGGCCTTATACTCAAAAGGAAGAGAGAAGAAATCAGAAGAGAAATAGGAGATGATAATGTATTGCAAAAAGTGTTTGATGCGATCAAGTCAAGATTTGATGAAAGGTTTTAGGAATATATATGAAACTTTAGATGTGAATTGGTCAATGACTGGAAAAAAGAACACAAGATCACAAATGAAACTAAAAAGAAAAAACGATACAAGAAGAGAAAAAAATCTGCACAGAATTCTGAAAATAAAGAAAACAGAATATTAAAAAAAAAAAAAGAATATTGGCCAAGGAAGAAAAAGAAAAACGGATCTTTACACAAATGCAAGAAAACAATTAAAATCTTTTTCAATATCGTATCAAGCCAGACTAATCCTCTTGGACCTATATTAAAAAGAAAAAAGGTGGTACTGACAAGGTCAGCAGCTCCCAGCTTATGATCGGAGAAAACAAATTCTCAGAAAGTTGAGGATCCAACATGAAGCAAATTAGCTGTTTAAGCGGGTCGCACCTGGACATTTAATGCTGAATGAGTTTTTATTAGTACAGGAATTTAGTATAGAATTATATATTTGTAACAAATATAAATTTTAATACTTCTAATTAAAATAATAAAGGCAGGATCACCAAAAAAATATATATATATTATTATTATTACTAAAGAATGAAATTAAAGTATTAATAAAAGGTGGTAAGCTATTTAACCAAAAGTCTAATCTGACTAAAAAATAGGTTAGTCAATTGTGAGACATGAGGCAAAAGCTGATTCTAGCTATAACAAAAAATTATTAGGATATCATCACCATTTTGATGTAATTGAAAAAATTTTAAAACAACATCATAAGACACAACATCAAACAGCAATAATAAATGCTAATCTAAAATTAAAAGCTTACAATTGTGTCAGAATAGGGAAAAATTATAAGATAAATGAGGTAAGCATAATAAAATTTGTTATAAAATTATTTTTAAATCAATTCTAAAGTTACTTGACTAACAAATCATTTACTCAATATATTGATAATCTCTTACTGATATATTAAGTAAATAATTTTTTACTTAACCCACAAATCATTTACCTAATATATTGATAATCTCTTACCAATTTATCAGATAAATGATTTATAAGTAAAATATAATAATTTAAATTACTGTATTATAAAAAAGAAAAAGGAGATGAAAAGCATTAACATATTTAAAAAGTTAGGAAATAAAATTATTAGAAGATATTCATAGAAAGACTTAGAGATTTTAACAAGAAGCAAAAAAAAAATGCCTATCATTCTGATGAAGAGTGAAAGACAGATGAGAATGAGTCAAAGGATGATAAGAAAGTTAAAAAGTTAGTTTGTATTGACAAATAGTAGTAAGGCCCTAATATAAGTAAATATTTTACTAGTGCTGAAAAAATAATAATTAATTTTTAAAATATTATTATTATTTTTTTTTTAAACTTGACTAGAAAAGCTAGTGAAGCCTTTATTAGATCTATCCGTAGATATATACATAATTTTTGAATTATATTACAACCTATTGCTAGGCTATATTAATCTAATCAGCAATCTGACATTTATCTGGCTGCTCTAATAAGTGTTCAAATATATTCTAGTTGTATTATTAGCATACTATAGCTAAAACCAACACTAGCAGTCAGGGTATCTCTCACTCTAGAAAGACATTGCTATTAAACCGCCTGCCAATAGGGAGAATTAAACCCACATCTGATACTACTTCTGCATCCTAAAACTACTATATCTAGCTAGATTATATTCATCGCATTACTTACTTTTTCACTCCTATATAAATCTCAAATTGGTAATATTCGAGTTATAGATCCTGATGATCTTTCAGTTTAGTGTGCTATGTTATTAGTTTTTCTAAGAAAATTCTGACAAAGGTCCAAGATTTGTAGGAACTCATATCTCAAGCCAAAAACTGCTATCTAGTTAGGTTTGCTATATGACAGAGTTGGTATTTTATGACAAGTATTTCCTTTTACGTTTCTGCTCAAATACTACTAATCCATATCTTAAGCCAGTTTTTATTATCGCAATTTAACCACAAATACTCTAGATCTTAATGTTATATAGTTGCTCAGTGTGTTCCTTCATTCTTTTAAATACTACCTGCTATGGTAGAGTTTAAGCCTTATTTTACAAGTATATAAGACAATTCTGGTTGTATCTAAGAAGTTATACCAACCCTAGTGATACTATACTACTATATTATACTTGCTTCCAGCATGTTGTTATACAAGACCAGGACAATTACAGTTATATTCAGTGAGTTACACTGACCCGGTGATGCTATACTACTATTTGAATTATAAATCCCTGAGGTTAGTAAATCCTAAACTTGTTCATTATAGACTTCTATATAGATGTGACTGGAGCTCAATTCAGTACTTTTATATATACTCAGAATATTAGACAACCTCCATATTCTTGCCTTCTATAGTATTTCTATTTTGTATTGCTAGAGGTGCTTCTGCTTCTAATAAGGCCAATTCTTTATCACAGTCCGTCTACATGTTCACTACTTTTCTTACTACTTCAACTTTAGTAATGATGATTACACTCCCAATCAAGTTCCTGTATTTTTAATCCAGATCAGGACTAATTCGTGCAGTTTATTGACCACCCTGCTAAGCAAGTATACCACAAGTTGGATGTAAAGATATTAGTATTGTCTAAACTGAAGATTCAAAGATGTTGGTGCTACCATGTTTCAAAGAACTTAATTGCATAATCTTTATAGCCACAATCTTCTGTAATATGCAGTTATACATAGTGCCTACTGTTATTGCTCTATTTTTTGTATAACTAGACTTAAGTTAGAGACCAGCAGAAGGGAGCAATAACTAGCAGTTTGATTTAAAGAACTAAAGCAGAGAGTAATATTTAAAAGGTAAAGTTTAAATAGAATAATAACAAACAGATAAAGTGGAGTATATCCTTATTAGATTTAAAGGAGTCCAAACTTAGTTCAAACAATACAGCGAACACTATTAGACTCTGGGAATCCAAACCTTATACACTCTAAAGATACCAAGAAATGATAAGAAAAATAACAAAAACTCAAGAAAAATGCCAATTTCCAAGAAGACAATAGTATTTTATTATTAGCAATCAAAAGTGAGAACTTATACAAAGTTATTTTGAGAAAAGGAGAAAAGGGGTGCTATTTATAATGTTTTGGGACTATGTAG